CAAGCCGCCGTACATACCGGCTACCGAAGAAGCGCAAGGTTGATCACCCAACGAATACCTCCTATCACCTGTGGCTATCCTAGTTGAACTTTGGTACCTAAGATTTCGCGAAATGCCAAGGACAATCGTAGCGTGATATAGAGCACTCCGTATCCTAGGCATCGTAGCCACTCTTGCCCGGAACAACGCCATGCGCGGGTCCACCCTTCCCATACATCCTTCGCAGGTCTCCTGCAAGCCGATGTGGCACCTCAAATGCTGCGAAGTGACCACCTGCGTCATGCTCAGACTCGAACACCAATTTGCCAAGGGTTTGCGACCAGCTGGATAACACGTACGAAGTGAGCTAGCTAGCCATTGCTGAACGGGGATCACGGCGTACGATTTAGGAACATGAACGATCTCCGCGGGGAAGTAGGACACCCCGACCGGCACAGATACCCAGCCCGGGTCGTCGGTGATGTTTTTCGTGCCACCATCACTCATCTCGTAGTAAATGCGGACCGAAGCGGCTGGCCCGGCTCGTGAGAACCAGTAGATGGAGACCCATTCGAGCACTGTCGATAGCACAAGTTCTGGCGCTTCAGCGAGGATCAAGATGCTGAAGACAAGACTGTGCACCTTCGTCTTCCTTCCAGGGATACTTGTCTGTCCAAGCCACAAGCTTCTCGTATATCCAGGCGAGCAGCCCAACAGGGGAGTCGGCAAGCGAGTATCCTAAGGTTTGAGGACGAGTCGAGTGTTGCGTCATGTAGGCACTCTCGGTGTTGAAGAAGCGAGCCAACACGGCGAGCCTGTCCTTTGCAGCAGTGTCGAAGGGCAAGGTCAAGAGGGACCGGATGTACAGGAACGGGAATCGCGTGAACGTTGGGGGGTTGGCGCTATATAGGATATTCCGAGACTCAGTTAGCAGCGAGCTTCTCTCGGGATGCGAAGAGGCGTCTGTGACGTACAAAGCCATGTTCGTGTGCCACGCTTTGACGTGCTTGTGCCCGTGGAGCTTCACAGCATGAGTTCCCAGCTTCAAACGGTCAGCGTGAGTGGCTTCGTTAGGTTTGTTTCCAAGCATGGGGCGACAGGACTACTCACGATGTGCCCCCAGTCTCCTCCTTGATAGACTGATATGATCCAGAATCAATTGTAAACGTAAGGTGCTGTTCATAAGCTTACCATACTCATTGTATCCGAGTGCCAGCATGAGCTTGTTCAGCAACTATTGGCGCGTTCGTTTGAGGGGCTCTTTAGCAAGGACGACGCCACATACCTGAGCGTACTGTGGTCCCTTGAAACCCGTCTTGCGCGGAGCCTCAGAGAAACCAAAACCGGGCAAGCTAGGAGCGACGACGTGGAAGCTGGGATGGCCGTCCCCCACCGATGTCAGGAGAGGGAGAATTCTCCTTACCTCGATAAAGTGACCGGGCCCTGAAGTTAGTGGACATTCCATCAGTGTGCAGGCATCAACGTTATGTGTCGTAGCCCAGTGCTTACAGCCATGAACAAATAATAGCGGAATCGCGCTCTTGACTTCGCTCCTTTGATGCACATAGTGCACATTCAGCGTGCCGAAGCCTTCGACCTCGATGTCGCGCGTGAACATCGGGAGCATGTTGATCTCGGCCTCGACCTTTCGCCAGTCGAAGCCGGCCTTCCAGTGCGCGATCAGCCTCTTGATGTCGGCAAGAGGAACACCATAGTCCCATCTTGCGCCCTCTAGCTGGTCTGGGAGACGCGCAAGGTCGAGCCTTCGCTGGAGGGACTCGATGTCCTCGTCGGAGACCGCGACTTGGAAGGGTTTCTCGCTATCTGAGGTGCCTGACATGAAAGGCGGATGGGGTGAGGTGGGTGAGGGGATGGTATCGGACCACGGCAATTTATCGTGAGTATATTGAGGGTATGAACTCGGCTCAACGTTCAACACTGACTGGTGGAGGTAAGCATGACGTAACTTGTCATGGTTAATTCGGATACACCTGCGTCTCTCCCAATGTAGGGTTGATGTATCTAGTTGTTTTCTGCCGTCTCTTGCCGTCGTTCCGAGATCGGGTGACGGCGTGTAGCGGTAAGAAGGAAGGTGTACTGCCTACAGGGACGCCGACGTTGGGTTAGGTGAAGTTTGTCGGGAATTCTAGCTAAAAGACCTACTCAT